CCGCGTCGTCCCTGATGCGCAGTAGCAAGTATTGTTCTATGGAAATTCACTGCTTCCCATAGATAGATATGTAAACCTCCCCCCAGACCTGAGCTCAACTAGGGCAGAAATACCCTTTCGTTTTCCTCCTAAATCTTCTTAGGAGGAAAGAGAATTCCCGCATTTTAGTGATCCACAAACGACTGTGACGAGTGAAGTTCGCGGGGGACCCGATCGAAGGTCTCGGTTGGCCGGGAAACCAGATCTCGGCGGGAACCGTGGAATTCACTGCGCACCCGAAGTGTCTGTGCAAAGTGAGCCACGGGAGGGAGGGAGGAGCAGGCCTGGGCTGAGCGAGGCCTGAGGCCAAGGGCGGCCAGAGCAGGGGGTGTCGGGAGCTGCCTGTGTCCGGAGGAATCACTTTTTAGGCGCTTGTTTTGGACCATCGCACAAAACACGGTTGCAAACCCAAGCTCACTAGCGTGAGTCAGCGAGGCCAGTAGCCAAGCGGAGAGGGGAAGGTGGGCGAGGAGGGCTCCACGGTGCGGGCGGCAGGAAGGACCCGGTGGTGACTCCGGACAACCCCAGAGGCGGCCCCCTCCTCAGCTCGACAGGTGAGCGCCAGGCTGGCCGCGGGGCGGAGCCCGCACCAGCCTCCCTGCAAGGCGCCAGCACCACTGCGCAGGTAACTCCCCTGCTGGGCCTTCCCCCGACCCCCAGGGCCGCGGCGCCAGGGCCATCCCAAACCCCCTCGGCCTCCCTGCCCCCGTCCTACTCCCCTAGTCCCTATGCACAGGAGAGCCAGGAGCCTTTGTCCGCTTCCGATGGCGCCCGCGCCTTCCCTGGCGCAGAGTCCGAGTCCCGCTGGCAGCGGAGTGCACCCTGCACTTCGCGCTTGCAGACCTTAGCGGCCCGGCTGGACGCCCACTCTTGCCCACTGCGATCAGAGACAGTCCTAAGGCTGCCGGTGTTCCGGGGTCAGGAGCGGCATGTCCCTGGGGCGCACTCCCCCGCCAACCGCGCCCCTAGCCCCATTTCTCCTGGCCCCCCAGAGCCCCGAGATGGCGTTGGCGGAAGTGAAGCCCCGCGCGGGAATCCGGCGAGGCTGGTGATCAGCTTAAGGAACAAGGTCTTTCTGTTCCCTCCTGGCCCTACTGCCCCGGTTAAACAACGACCCTCGCTTTCCTGGTGTATTAGCTGGTTACTGCGCCGAGTGCAGTACTACGCTATTGCTACAAGATAGCTTTTTTTGGGAAAAATTAAAACAAAAATCAATGCATAGTTTATATACAATAAAATGCCACGTTTTAAGTCTGCAGATCGATGGGACTGAAATTATACATCCATGTAACTACCACCCATCGCAGACTTAAAACCATTTATATCACCCCAGAAAGTTCCCTTGTGCCCCTTTCCAGTAACTCCACCTTCCCACCCCCACACTGTTTTGATTGCTGTTCTAGGCTTAGTTTTTCCTGTAAATTTTGAACTTCATAAAATGGGCTCTTTCAGAAAGTACTCTGTTGTGCTTGACTTACATTGGTTTGTAAATGGCGGTTATTGAGAAGGTGTGCCTTGGTGCCTCTGGGTGCTTTCAGTTGCTCTTTGCTTTTCTGATCTAATGTAGAAGCCACTGGCCACATGTGGCCATTGAACACCTGAAAGTTGGCAAATCTGAATCAAGATATGCTTAAGTAAAAGCACCTGATTAGTAAAAGGTGGTAACATGAGGGGCGCTGTGGTGCTGGCTTGTAAGCCCAGTGACTGGGGAGGCTGAGTCAGGAGGATTGCAAGTTCCAGGCTAGACCTGGCAACTTACTGTGACCCTGTCTCAAAAAAAAGAAAGGGTCACAATTGTAGCTCAGTAATAAAGCACCATTGGGTTGGATCCCCACTGCTGCCAAACAAAACAAAAAAGGAACAATCTTACACCTAAATTCTTTTATTGATTATAATTGTGAATACATTGAGTTAGATATGTTATTAAAATTAACCTCATTTCTCTTTATTTTTAAAAAATATTTTTAGTTATAGATGGACACAATATCTGTATTTTATTTATTTATTTTTATGTGATGCTAAGGATTGAACCCAGTGCCTCACACATGCCAGGCAAGTGCTCTACCACTGAGCTACAACCCTAGCCCTCTCCTTATTTTATAAACGTGGCTACTAGAAAATTTTAAATTACTAACCTGGCTTACTGTGTAGTATTTTTATTAGGCAGCTCTACTAACACTGTTCCATTTCCTATTTTATAAACATTTGGTTCTGTTCACCACATTTGAGTAAATGAAAAACTTGGATCTTCATACCAGAAATCATCCTTATTGGAGGAAGTGATTTAAAACAGCCTACCTTGCAGTTTTAAAACTTTTCAAACTTGCTTGTTTGTTGAGATGAGGTAGAATTAGGCCCACCTTTTAGAATTAAGTTATATTTTTCAAAAAGGACTCTTAAGTATTGTACTTTAAAAGGGAATCTTGTGTTTTTGAAAATACTGAAAACTAATAATTGTCTAAAACCCAATCACCTAAATATATTAAAATTTAACATGGTGTATTTTTAATATATTTTTAATTTGTTCTAATTAGTTAAACATGACAGAATGCATTTTGACCCATCATACATAAATGGAGTATAACTTCTTGTTTGTCTGGTTCTACATGATGTAGAATTACACAGGAACATGGTGTATTATTTTTTTTTATCAAATTAAGATCCTGAGGGGTGGGGATATAGCTCAGTTGGTAGAGTACTTGCTTTGCGTGCACAAGGCCTTGGGTTCAACCCCCAGCACCACCAAAACAAACAAAAACTTGACAATTAAGACTTTGATCTTAATTTTATATATATATAATATATATAATATATATAATATATAATTATATATATATAATATATAATTATAAATAATTTGGTACTGGGAATTGAATCTAGGGTCGCTCTACCACTGAGTTATATCCCCAGTGCTTTTATTTATTTTTTTTTTAATTTTTTTTCTTTTTTTTTTTTATACTTTATTTATTTAGTTTTCGGCGGACACAACATCTTTGGATGTGGTGCTGAGGATCGAACCCAGGCCACATGCATGCCAGGCGAGCGCGCTACCGCTTGAGCCACATCCCCAGCCCCTTATTTATTTATTTTCTCTCTGTCTCCCCCCTTCCCCCTCCCCCTGTTGTTCTTTCCTTTTTGAGGTACTGAGGATTGAACCCATGGTGTGCTGTACCTGAACTACATCCCTAGCCGTTTTTATTTTATTTTGAGACAGGGTCTAAATTTCCCAATCTAGCCTGGAACTTGCAATCCTCCTAAGTGGTGGGACTTACAGGCATGTGCCACCATGCCTGACTTATCTTAATTTTAAAAAGCATATTTGAGATAATATTTTTATTCAATTTTATACCTGCTTTTTTTTTCCAAGTAAAATAAGCATTTTCTTATATGAAAAATTCTCAGGCATCTTGTGACTTCACATGATTGTCTTCCAGTTTTCTTGACCATTACTTTCATGGCACACTTTGATTTTTGCTGACTTTAACAAACAGGAAGTCAGTCACTTGACAGTTTACTTGCCCCTTAATCTCACAAGAAAAGTAAACTCCAAGAGGGCAGAACCTTGACTTTTTGTTCATCCCTCATCCCTAGGACCTGGGAACACATCAAGCATGAAATAAGTGTTCAATAAACACTTGTGAGCTCACTGATCGAATCAGTAAATAGGTGGATGTGAAGAATAACAACTGGACGCCGTTTTGCCCTTAGGCACCCTGTTTGTAAATTCTTGCACAGCTTTCTAAGGTAGCTACTATCTTTAGCCCTGTATATTGCATGAATTGAGGAAAATAAGGTTTGGAAAAGTTAAAGAATTTGTTTAGGATCATAGATGTAAGTGAATCTAGTTTGTCTGACTATAGATCAATAGTGGGATAAGGAAGATATGGAGCAATAAAAGTGGAAAGATATGAATATCAATTACATTTGGGATCTACAAGAGAATTCTGGGTTTGGATTGAGAATCATTTAGGCTATAAATATATAGATCAGATTAATAGGAAGAAGTGTAGTGATTCTGAATGTGACCATACCATGGCAGAGTAAGGCAGACTCGGGGATTTAGGGAGGACATTTGGGATGGAACAAGTATATCTTATTTCAGCGGACCAATAGCTATTTCAAATGAAACTCATAGCTCTGAAGTGAGATTAGTCTTAAATGCGGTAGCTATTAAGATAGATTGTTTTGAAAAATAAGCAGAGGAAGGTACAAAATCAGAATGGGCATTTCTTTGAGGAAGAGATGGGTAACTGAAATTAATGCATTTGTGCTTAATTTCCAAGTACTTTAAAAAATGTGTGAATTATAACAAAAAAAATGAAATGTATAGTTATTAACTTTTGTTAGTTTCTCTTTTTTGGCAGTTGTAATTTCATATTAGCAGTCTCAAGGAATTGCCCATTTGCCTGCCACGACTAGACAAATAATATCATCAAGGAACTACTTTGTTGTACTGGTAAAATTATAAGAGCAGATGGCCTCTGTATACACTCAAAGGAAAATGATGGTACTTAAAGAAAATCAAGATATTGGACTTGTTAAACATTTGCATCAGACAACAGCAGAAAAAGAAAAATTCTTTAGGACATATTTTCTTTTTTAAAAAAATATTTTTAGTTTTAGATGGACACAATTCTTTGTTTTGTGTATGGTGCTGAGGATCGAACCCAGTGCCTCACATGTGCTAGGCAAGTGCTCTACCACTGAGCCACAACCCCAGCCTAACATATTTTCTTTTAATTTTCCTTTTTGGATTTTTTTTTGGGGGGGGGTACTGGGGATTGAATCCAGGGATATTTTACCACTGAGCTATAGCCTCGGGTTTTTTTTTTTTTTTTTTTGCTCTGGGGATTGAACTCCGGGCTACTCAACCACTGAACCATATTCTCAGTTTTATTTTCTATTTTATTTAGAGACAAGGTCTCACTGAATTGCTTAGTGCCTTAGTTGCTGATGCTGGCTTTGAATTTGTGATCCTTGTGCCTCAGCCTCTGGAGCCACTGGGATTACAGGCATGTCCCATCACGCCCGGCTACCCCCAGGTGTTTTATAATTTTTTTTAGTTGTAGATGGACACAATATTTTTATTTCTATTTATTTTTATGTAGTGCTGAGGATCAAGGGCCTTACACATGCAAGGCAAGCATTCTACCACTGAGCCACAACCCCAGCACCCTCAGTTGTTTTAAAAACTTTTTTTAGTTGTAGGTGGAGACAATACCTTTAATTTATTTGTTTTTTATGTGGTGCTGAGGATCAAACCCAGTACCTCCCATGTATGAGGCAAGCACTCTACCACTGAGCCACAACCCCCAGTTTTTTAAGAAACATTTTTTTTTGACACAGGGTCTTGCTAAATTGCCCAGGCTGACCTTGAATTTGGGATCCTCCTGCCTGAGCCTCCCAAGTCTTTGGCATTATAGGCTTGTGCCACCACACCTGGCTTGGATATTCTTCAGTAGTAAAACTGAGTAATGAAAAAGATTATGTTCAGCACTCTTAGTTAAAATGGATATATTCATAATAATATAATAAGATATAATAATAATTAATCATAAATGGGGGGTGTAAGTCAGTGGTACAGCACTTGCCTAGCAAGCAAGAGGCCCTGGGTTCCATCTCCAGCACTGGAAAACAACAACAATCAAAAAGCAAAAAAGATGTTAATAGTTAATAGGTGGGGCTGAGGTTGTGGCTCAGTGGTAAAGGGCTTGCCTGGTATGTGCGAGGCCCTGGGTTCCATCCTCAGCACCACATATAAATAAATGAAATAAATGTAAAAAAATAAAAAATACTTAATAGCCAACTTTGTTTTTCTTTTTTATTGGCACTGAGGATGGATCCTAGGACCTCTTGTATGCTAGGCATGGGCTCTACTACTGAGCTACACTCCTGGCCTCAAATCTTAAGCTTTTACTCTATGCCCTCTCCATAACATCAGGCATCAGAAAATGTTTTATGTAAAAGACAGGTAATAAATATTTCAGGCTTTGTGGGACGGAATGTCTCTGTTGGCACAAGATTCAACTGTGCCACCCTAGTGTGAAAGAAGCCAGTAACAGTAAGTCAATGGTTCTGACTTGCGGATGAATGAATCCCAGATTAGTCAATCAAGAGTGAAGACAGGGTTGGGGATGTGGCTCAAGCAGTAGCGCGCTCGCCTGGCATGAACGGGGCACTGGGTTCGATCCTCACACCACATAAAAAATAAAGATGTTGTGTCCACCGAAAACTAAAAAAATATTTTTTTAAAGAGTGAAGACAAAGCCTGCAAAGGCACTTACTTTGGGTCCTGGGTGAGAGGCTCAGCGAACCAATGATGAAGCTGATCCTATCTGAGCCATGGTACCTTAATTGTTAAAGAAAAAAATTGTTCAATGACACTTGTTAAAACACTATAAGAGTTTTTTCAGGGCCATTGCAATAGGTATAGGGACCACTGCAATGGGGTCTGGAATCAGGGAGGGAGAGATTGGGCTGAACTCCAAATATAGCACGGAAAAGGGGGGATTTATACCTGAGGAGCAGGGTATTGGGGCATAGTGGCCAGTGGGTGGGAAAAAGAAGATAACAGCAGTAAGAGAGACAGACTAGGATCACACATCACATGGAAGATGGCACAGAATGAGGACTCTGATCGGATATCAATGATGATCAAATATTGAGGGTGCAATGTTCTTGCTAAATGAACTTAGCAGGGTTCTTTGCTAAAACTGGCTTTACATGGAAGTGTACAGAATATTCAGAAGTTTGGCCAAGCAAAGAATCTTTGTCATGACAAATGTGTAATGCCATGTATTCACCATTATCATATCATACAGAGAGTAGTGTCACTGCCTTTAAAATCCCTCATGTTCTACCTATTCATCCCTATCTCCCTCCTACTCCCTGGCAACCACTGATCTTTTTTACTGTTGCTGTAGTTCTGCCTGTTCCAAAATGTCATATAGTTGAAGTCGTACAGTATGTAGCTTTTTTTGATTGGCTTCTTTCACTTTGTAACATGCATTTAAAATTCTTCCATGTCTTCCGGACTTGATAGCTCATTTCTTTTTCTTTCTTTCTTTTTTTTTTTAAACCAGGATAAGTTTGCAAGAGAGAGAATTATTCTATTTATTTTAGTTGTAGGTAGATACAATATCTTTATTTTTATGTGGTGCTGAGGATCAAACCCATTGCCTCACACATGCAAGGCAGATGCTCTACCACTGAGCTACAGCCCCAGCCCGATAACTCATTTCTTTTTAGCATCAAATAATATTCCAAGCGTTTGGTATCTTTATTCCATTTTACTGATGAAGAAGCAGACATGGGGGCTTGGGTTGTGGCTAGTAGCAGTGGTAGAGCACTTGCCTGGCATGTGTGAGGCACTGGGTTCGATCCTCGGCACCACATAAAAATAAATAGATATTGTGTCCATATACAACTAAAAAAATTTTTAAAGAAGCAGACATGGAAAGGACAAATACTTGCATATGTGTAGCTTGTAAGATCTGACTTTAGAGTCTGAACTTGTAAACATTTTACTATGCCTCTGATTCCCAGATAAATTTGATTTCTTGTGATACATTTGGCCAAGGTACAGAGCCAGCCACTTTGCTTTCTGACTTCTTCTTATTTTTTTTTTTTAATTTTTAGGTGATACTGGGAATTGAACCCAGGGCTTTGTGCATGCAAGGCAAGCACTCTACCAACTGAGCTATATTCCCAGCCTTCAGCTTTCTGTATAGTGACAACAATTAAAAGCCCACTAGATTACACAAAAGTTTTGGGTATTTAGTTCATTGTAGAAAAATGCAATGCTATGTGCTTTTGAAATTCTAGTTTAATGCACTTTGATACTTTGAGAAAATGTTTCTCTTCCTTGACTATTAATTTTATTGCCTGTCAGATTATACCTGGGTGCTGGCAACCAGCCACTCTTCACCAATGAAGTATATCCTGGTTACTGGTGGGGTCATCTCCGGCATTGGTAAAGGAATCATTGCCAGCAGCATTGGGACGATTCTCAAATCATGTGGACTCCGAGTTACTGCCATCAAAATCGACCCTTATATTAACATTGATGCAGGGACTTTTTCACCTTACGAACACGGTATGAAAGGATCATTTCCTTCTTTATAAAGCACTGCACTAAACTGCATTTCTTTCTTGTATTTTGATCTGTTTCTTTAGGACAGAGTTCCAGAAGTAGGCTTGCTGGGTCAGGCCTTAGGAATATGTCGATGTGCTTATGGACATTGATAGTATTTCAGATTACTGATAACATTCCAAGTTAGCCAACCCTTTTAGAACATTGTGTCTTCTGCTATGGATTATGTTTTGTTTTATTTTATCGAAAAGGTTATATATTTCTGTTAACATTTCCCACTGCCTGGGGTAACTATTATTAATGTTGACATTTTGATGTATATATTAATTACCAAAAAAGGTATGAACCTTTACATAGTTTTTTTTTCATGTTTCCATTAGTGCATTATTAGTTACACATAATATTTGAGTTCATTTTGACATAATCATACATGCATGGAATATAATTTGTTCCATTTCAGTCCCCACTATCTCTCCCTCCCCTCCTTCTCTTCCTCTGCTCTACTGGTCTTCCTTATATTTATCTATTTATTTATTTATTTTGGCACTGGGATTGAACTCGGGGGCACTTGACCACTGAGCCCCAGCCCCATTTTGTCTTTTTTTTTTTTTTTTTGGTGGTGGTGCTAGGGATTGAACCCAGGGCCTTGTGCATGCGAGGCAAGCATTCTACCATCTGAGCTATATCCCCAGCCTCCCTATTTTGTATTTTATTTAGAGACGGGGGACAGGGTCTCAATGAATTGCTTAGCACCTTGCTTTTTGCTGGCTTTGAACTCGCAGTCCTCCTGCCTCAGCCTCTTAAGCTGCTGGGATTACAGGTGTGTGCCACCACACCTATCTTTATTCTACTGATCTCCTTTATTCCTTTATTCCACTGATCTCCCTTCTTCCTTCATGGGGTTCCCCGCTTTTTACCCCTTATTTTGCTCTAGTTTCTGCATATGAGAGAAAACTTTTTTTTTTTTTTTGGATGGTGCTGGGGACTGAACCCAGGGCCTTGTGAATGTTACAAAGGCACTCTACCAACTGGGCTATATCCCCAGCCCAAGAAAACATTTTTTTAAAAAAATGTGTTTTTTTTTTTACATACAAGCAGAAAAATGCATAATCATAAGTCCTGATTTGATGATTATTCACTAAATGAACCTATTATATAACCAGCCTCTGATCAAGGAACAAAAATCCTGTTTGTGTCCTTTGTTCTCAATCCCAAACTCCCAAGAAAACTGCTATCATGTCTTCTGACACTGTGCATTAGTTTTGCTTTTTTTGGGGGTGGGGTGGGGGCAGGGACAGGGTCTTGTTATTTTGTCCAGGTTGGCCTTGAACTCCTGGGTTGAAGCAATCTTCCTGCCTCAGCTTCCTAAATAGCTGGGGCTACAAGTGCACCACCACGCCCAGCTAATTTTTCGTGGTTTTGAACTTTCATTTAAACTTTGAATTTAGTTGAATTTTATAGTTATAATATCTTATAATATCTTTTTGTGTCTTTTTTTTTTTTCTTGTAGTACTGGGGATTGAATCCAGGCCTCATGCATGCTAGGCAGTGTTCTACCACTGGGCTACATCCCCAGCCCTTTGTATTTTATTTTGAGACAAGGTCTTGCTAAATTGCTTAGACTAACTTTGAGCTTGTGTTCTTCCTACCTTGGACTTTCTAGTAGCTGGGATTAAAGGTGTGGGCCACTGTGCCCAGCCGCAATACTTTTTAATCTAATTTTTAAAATTTAATATACTATGGACATATTTATATATTCTACACTGCACAGAACCTATATAATAACAGTAAATGATTTCTAATTCATTGACATTGTGAACAACACCATGATAGAAATCTATAAGATTTAATTTTTTAAGCATGCATTTCTAGGTGCATAAAGTTCTGATTTGAAAAGTAAGGATGTTTTTCAGTCTTTTAATACATAATGCATATTTTGTTCTTTTTTCCAGTGCAGGGGATGGAACCCAGGGCCTCGTGCATGCTAGGCAAGTCACCATCACTGAGTTACAGCCCCAGAATGTATATTGCTAAAGGTTTTTAGGTTCACTATCCCTTGTCTTCAACTCTGAAGTCTGAAAAGTTCTGAAAATTTAAAATACTTTGTAAATTTATGGCTATTTGTAGTGGGTTTTTTTTTTTTTTTTGTACCAGGGATTAAACCCAGAGCATTCAACCACTGAGCCATATCCCCAGCCCTTTTTTGTTTTATTTAGAGGCAGGGTCTTGCTGAGTTTCTTAGTGCTTTGCTAAGTTGCTGAGGCTGGCTTTGAACTTGTGGTTCTCCTGCCTCAGCCTCTAGAGCGGCTGGGATTATAGGTATGCACCACCATGCCTGGCAGTCAAAATTTCTGAAAACTCTATATGTTTGTGGCTATAGATTTTTTTCTTTTCTTTTTTCTTTTCTTTTTTGTTTTGTGGTGTTGGGGTTCAAACCCAGGGCCTTGTTGCAATCGAGGCAAGCACTCTAACAACTGAGCTATATTACCAGCCTTATAGATTTTATTTCACTTTATTTCATTTGTAATGTATTTGATTATGGGGGTATTATTATTTCTTTCTTTCTTTTCTTTCTTTTTTGGCAGTGCCTGGGATGGAACTCAGGGCCTTGAGCATGGAGGCAAGCACTGTACCACTGAGCTACACCCATAGCCCGTTGGGTATTTTTCTTTCTTTGTTTTTGGTACTAGGGATTGAATCCAGGGGCCCTTGACCACTGAGCCAAATCTCTGGCCCTTTTTACTTTTTTATTTTGAGACAGGGTCTCACTAAATTGCTGAAGACCTTGCTAAGTTGCTGAGACTGGCTTTGAACTTGCAATTCTCCTGTCTCAGCCTCCCGAGTTGCTGGGATTTCAGGCATGTGCCACCACACTCGGCAACTATGGAGTATTTTCTAATATTTGGACATGTTCTATATTACATTCCATAATCCCAAAAAGTTCAAATTCCAACATCCATCTTGTTCCCAAGGATTTTCTGATGAGGACTGAATTTGCACCATACGTGAAACAATGTCAATTTCTTTATCTCCTTGCTGAATATTATTTTTAAACTTTATTAACCTGACAGTAAAACAAACAAAAAATATTTTGTTTTAATTTAGATTTCTTTGATTTTGATCTTGTGAATGACTTACTCAAGTCTAGAGATTGTATTTTTGTTTGAATAGATCACCCAACATCCTTCTGTGGAGTACGTTTCCCACTTCTAGACGTTAGACTTTGGCCACTTGGGGTGGCTAACTTCTCCTGTTTTGTTTGGAACCTTCCAGGCTTTAAAACTGAAATTCCTTTAGTCCTAGGCTAATGGAAGAGATTGGTCATTCTCTTTGGCAATGTGATTTATTTTGCCCTTTGAGACATTATCAAATGTGACATGCCTTGTCGAAGGAGAAATGTTAAATGCAGATGCACGATTTGGTTCAGTTTCTCTTGTGCTTCTGCCATCTGCCATGAGAACAGCTTGCTCTGTGTATGGATTTCTTATTCATCAGGGGTCCTGGAAAGAGGAGACATAAAGAATAGACTCTCAACTAACCCACAGCCCCTCGTGAGGGAGAAATAAATATGTTTCTAAGTTGGGAGACTTGGAGGTTACTTGTTTTCTTTTTCTTTTTTTGGATACTGGGGATGGAACCCAGGGGTGCCTAATCACTGAGCAACAATTCCCCAAGGGGGGGCATTTTTAAGGGAATATCATGCTTCAAACATTTTTTTTTTTTTTTGTGAGCTGAGGATTGAACCCAGTGCCTCACACATGCTAGGCAAGTGATCTACCACTGAGCTACAACCCCAGCCCAACGACCCTTTTTAATTTTTATTTAGAAAAAGGGTCTTGCTGCCATGACTGTGTGAGTAGATTAATGTAAAAAGTAAATAAGTAAGTAAGTAAGTAAATAAATAAATAAGAAAAAGCGTCTTGCTAAGTTGCTTAAGGCTGGCTTTGAATTTGGGATCCTCTTGCCTCAACCTCCCAAGTTGCTAGGATTATAGGAGTGAACCACCATGCCTGGTGATTATTTTTTAATTTTAAGACAGGATTTTGCTAAATGTCCAAGTTGGCCTTGAATTTTTCATCCTCCTGCCTCAGCTTCCTGAGCTGCTGGGATTTCAGGTGTGTGCCACTTTGTCCATCCTCACTAGGATTCTTTACAGGGTATATTCATTTTTTTTGGTTTTGGTAATCTCACCTATTTTTCTTCTAAATTAACTTCAGTGTCTTTGTCAAGATAAAATCTACTGGAATTTTTATTATATGACATATCTAAAAAACTGTTTTTATAGTTCATCTTTCTTTTCTAAGAATATAATATGTGCATATTTTTAACATTTGGTAATTTAGACATTTGAGACTTTGACATATACATGGAGTTTTGCCAACCTGGATTTAATGTGAAGTAATTGAAGAAATTTCAGAGGTTGTGCACTCCCACCCCCATCCCCCAAAGAATGTGTTGGAAGTTAAGAACACAGATCAAAGGGGGAATACTTTTCCATCAATTGGTGATTCCTGGTGAATATGAGAGAGTAGAATTTGAACTTGAACTGGAATTTGGAAAATATAAAAATATTTAAATTTCATGTTGTGTTCTTTGATCCTTAAGTTCATCTTCCCAGTCACACTTATGTATTTTATGAAGAAGATGTAAATGAAGTTTTTGATTAGGTTCCTAAACTAGGCAACCTTCATTTTTTGTTGTGAACATCTAGCAGTAGGAGTAAAGGAGAGTTTCTTGATTAGGGAGAGGTTCAGTTCTTACAAGATGGCTTTAGAACATCTAACTCCCAATTAGTACCCTCAAGTGACAGTGGAGATCCAGAGACTACCCAGTAGTAATGACAAAGTCCATATCTAGATTCTTTGTCACAATGCTGTTGTGCAGGTGGCTTATTGTACACACACTAGTCTTTTTCCTAATTTCACAAAGTTTTCCCATGGGCTAGCCATGGACCTTTGTGACTTTGTTGTCTACCATCTAATAGTGGCTTTAACCAGATGACAATCGAGGAGAATATTCTTATGCCAATTCCAGAGACCAGGATATGGTTGCCTTGAAGTAAATTGCTATTTGTTTTCAAAATTGCTGTTTTAAAATTCTCTTTTCAAGTGGTACCTGAAGAGTTTGGAAAAGCTAAATCTCGAAGACAGAATTTCAGTGCGACTAAAAAGATACTATGATAGAATACCAGAATTTTTCTAATGCATTTTCATAGATATAATCGAAATTTTAAATTTCCCCATTAAAATAAGGATATGGTAGTAGAATACGGCTAATAAATACAGTTTTTACCAGCTTTTTAATAAAAATGTGTCCATCTTGGAAAAGTAATCAATTTCTACATTGCCTTTTATCCTAGGTGAAGTATTTGTCTTAAATGATGGGGGAGAAGTTGATTTAGATCTTGGAAATTATGAAAGATTCTTGGATATTAACCTTTATAAAGACAACAACATCACCACCGGGAAGATATATCAGCATGTGATCAATAAAGAGAGGCGTGGTGATTACTTGGGGAGAACAGTTCAAGGTATGCCATACGCAATATGGAACCCTGTGTGTCAAGAACCAGCAAGCAGGCTGCTCAAAAATAGAGCAAAAATGTCTTGGGCCCCAAGCTCCATAAATTCAAATCCTTTTGAAGTCTGTTTTTTTTTTTTCTTTTCCATAAAAATGTAATTTACCCCTCCCCCCATGTTACTGATTTTATTTTCATCAGTGTTTCTTTTCTCCTCCTTCTCTTTTTTCTTTTTTTCAAAAATAATGTCATTGTTCCCCTTAGCCCATCCCTTCTTCCCTCTCTTTCAGCTTTGGTTCAGAAAATCTACAGAGAACCATTTAATTATTTTTTAATTGGAAAGCTTATTTTTGTCTTTTATTTAATGTATCTGTATTTAATATATTCTTCATTTTTCTTATAATTTGCATGGATGGTGATCACGCCCGTTTGAAGAGGAGTAGCACTGGGGAAGGATAGAACTGGAGTGTCAGGCAGCATCATCTGCAGATTCCTGTCTTTTTTTTTCACTAACCCTTTTCCTGGGTGGGATGATTCTATTTTGTCTTAGAAGGAACCCTTTGGTACCCTGCCGCAGTCTGGCTGGGCACAATTCAGGAGCCACTTGTCAAAAGAAACTAACTTTATTTTTAGAACTACAAACGCCAAACAAAACAGCTCCTCAGGAAAAAACCCTCAGAGCCCAACTGCCACCACCGGCTTCCACAAGCCTCTCACCCCCACACCAACCTCACCACCTCCCACAATCCTCCTGCTCTTGAGGCTGATTGGCTGGGTTGCGTGGGCAGAGCCAAAGAAGTCCCCTAATGAACAGCTCCGTGGAGGAGCCAATCAGCTAGATGTTGCTGGGGCTGCTGTGAGCCAATCATCAGCCAGCAGCTGGAAGTTTGCTGGGGCCCCTTTGGCTGTGGCTCTCAACAGCACCCTCTAGAGTTTTTTTTTTTTTTAATCTTATTTATATGCAGTGCGGAGAATCAAACCCAGTGTCTCACAAGTGCTAGGCAAGCGCTCTATCACTGAGCTACAGCCCCAGCTCCCCTCTGGAGTTTTGTATCCTTATTTTCCTATGGAGGTGAAAATTCCCATCTCCTTTAAATCATTTTCAAGTTGGAGTCAGTTGAGCAGTAGATAGTTGGAGATCAGAAGATCAGCTGTGAAACTGGGCAGTGTGCTTAGACCTCACTCTCCTTAGCCCCCAGGTGGAGGCCCACTGCGCACATGCGCAGTGGATGGTTCCGAGTTCACCAATTGGGCAACTTTCTCATTCAAAGTAGCCTAAGGGCTAGTTGGAACTCCTTGTTCCTTCATTTCAGCCTCCCAGATTCCATCGTTTCTACTTCCTGCATCAAGTTAGGAGGTTGAGTCTCTGTGAACCTGTGGACATGTCACCTTTTTGTTTCTTCAAAGCTGAGACCAGCAACTTTAGGCCTGTTCACCTCCTATGGGACCTCTGGGTTTCAAGTGTAGGTGAACATGCACCCTTTGACCTCTTCCTCTGACATTAACAGTCATGGGCCTCTTCACCCCTGCAGGGGTCCCTGGTCAGTGGGCAGGCTTCCCTCATGCTCTTGAAGTGGACCTTGGTGGCCTCCCCTGGTGCCCCAGCTGGGTGTCCTTCCCAGTGGAGTCTAGCGTTCAGCTTGCTTGGCATCCCTCGTTGCATGGTTCTTAGTAGGCATTATAGGTGTTTCTAGTTTCATCACAGATGCCACTTGTACTTTCTGTGTCTTGTTCTCTGTGACTGGTCAGTTTCAAAAGAAAAGGCCTAACATTTAGGTGACTCAACCTAAATTACATCATTACCTGCTCACTTCAGTAAAGGAAGCATGAGACCTGCAGTTTGTCTAATTTGACAGGTGACTTTCAGATCACCCGAGAGGTCTAAAGTACTTCCCTTTCTCTTCAGTGTGAAATAAGCTGTTATTACTTTTTTTTTTTGCAGTTGTCCCCCACATTACTGATGCTATCCAAGAATGGGTTATGAACCAAGCCAAGGTGCCTGTGGATGGTAATAAGGAAGAGCCCCAAATATGCGTTATTGAGGTAAGCATAAAACTTTTCTTTATAAACTTATACCCTGCTGGGTCTTTAAGCATCTGATCTTTGTTCACTCAACATGTGTACAGATGGCTTCCTGGGTGCTGAACACTAGGCCAGGAGGTAGGGAGGAACAACATAGAGGGTCCCTGCCCTTGTGGTTACAAGTCAGTGCACAAGATTGTCATTAGATGAACAATGGCATGCAATCCTGGGGTGGGTATGCAGTGATCTGCTTGTAGAGAGAGATGTTTAACTGATGAAGTCAGTGTTAGGGCCAGGGCCTGGAATGGGCACAGTCTCTGTCCTTGAACTTGAAAACAGCCCATTCCATGCACAACAGAATGTATCCTAGTACATATTATTTGAAAAAATAATCCTAGTACATAGTATTTGAAAAAATATTTGTAAAGTGCTTCGGAAGTCGACTGAATTAGGCAAGCTAGACGGTAGAGGTGAGAAGTAAGTATCAACTGATAAGGAAAGGGAGGTAGAAGAAAGTAGTGTCTGAATTGGGCACTTGGCATAGCTTTCACCTTCTTCCCCTCCTCTTCATGTGCAGAGTGAGAATTACATTTATGTCCATCTCATCTAAATGTCAGTTAATCTAATTATCAGGCATGGGAATAGAATGTTGGATAGTATTGTTTCTAGAGTCAGACTTCTCAGGTTCAAATTTCTGCTGTGACCCCACCCCCCAAATGACTTTTTTTGGTGCTGGGGATTGAACCCAGGGGTACTTTATCACTGAGCCACATCCCAGCCCTTTTTAGTTTTTATTTTGAGACAGTCTCACTAAGTTGCTTAGAGTCTTGCTAATTTGCTGAGGCTGGCCTCAAACTTGTGATCTTCTTGCTTCAGCCTCCTGAGTCATTGGGTTTACATGTGTGCACCACCACACCAGCCCCAGGTGATACATTCTAGTGGTTGAGAGTCTGGTGCTGGACTGCTTGGGTTAGCCCAGGTGGGTCTTTTGCCAGCTGTATGGTCTTGGACAAGTTCGATTAACTTCTCTATGCCTCACTTCACTCATTTCCTAAATGGGCATAATAATAATAATAATAATACTTATTGTTTTTATAATTAAGTCACTATACCTAGTGCTTAGAATGGTGTCAGATATAGGGAGTGCTCAAAATTATTAGCTAGTATTAGGATGCCTATATAATTTTTAGCACATTACTTCTTATTACCCAAAAGTACTCATTGATAATAATATGATAATATGTAATACTGTAATAGCAAGGTGATAATGAAAGGATTGTTGAAGATTAAATGCAATAGTATAAAGCACTTGGCCTTATCTGGCATTTAGGAAGTGCTCAGTAAACACACATTAACCAGACCAGGTGCAATGGCACATACCTATAATCCTAGCTATTCAGGAGGCTGGGGCAGGAGGATTACAAGCTTGAGGCCAGCTTGGACAACTTTGCAAGACCCTGTCTCAAAATGAAAAATAATAAAAGGACTGGGGATGTAGCTCAGTGGTAGAACACCCCTGGTTTCAATCCTTAGTAACACAAGCACACACACACAAACATACACAGACACAAAATATGCTAGCCAGCTGGGCGCATGCTTATAATCTCAGCTACCTGGAAGATCTGAGGCAGGCTTGTGAGTTCAAGGTGAGCCTCAGCAACATTGTGAAATACCATCTCAGAAACAAAATATATCTATGAATATGTTATATGTTGTTATCGTTATTATAAGCCTTTGCAGATTGATAATATGCTATGTAGAAGATCCGCTGTTAGTAGTACAGCTGATAAACAGTATAAATGAATGTACTATGTCATATATTATCTATATATTATACTATTGTAATAATATGACTGATCAATATAATATGAATGCATAATGTAAAGTGTTACACAAAATTTTCTCATTGGGTATTTCTTCCTAATTTTTCCTGAGGAAAGATAAAATTCTTCCTTTCTAATTTTATATTATTTATTTTGCAGTACTGGGGATAAACTCAGAGCCTTGTGAATGTTAAGCAAGCATGCTATCAATGAATAACAAACAATAGCATGAACAAACAATAGCCCGAACCCCTGGCTATTGTTTTTGAGAATCTTCTTTGAACTAAACTTTTATGTTTCATTCTGGGGCCAGTGTACCTCTCTCTTTTTGTCATCTTTTTACAAAGAAGTATACTTTAGATTTAGACTTTTAATTGTTGACATTTTCACTTGCATAATAGAATTAAGAATTCTCAGTGACAGCTGAATGCAGTGGTGCAGGCTTGTAATCCCAGTGTTTTGGGAGGCTTAGGCAGGAGGATTGCAAGCTCAAGGCCAACCTCAGCAATTTAGTGAGGCCCTCAATAACTTAGTGAGACCCTGTCTCAAAATAAAAACTGAAAAGGGCTGGGGATGTGGCTCAGTGGGGATGTGCCCTGAGGCTTAATCTCTAGTACCAAAAAAAAAAAAAAAAAGAATTCTTACTGACAAAGCTGGGTGTGGTGGCAAGTGCCTGTAATCCCAGCTGCTCTGGAGGCTAAGGCCAGAGGGTTGTCTGAGCTCAGTAGTTGGCGACCAGCCTAGGCAATATAGACAAACCCCATCCCTGCACCCACCCCAAAAGAATCTTCAGGGACATCTCAAATTAAACTGAAGTTTCCATCTCAACAAGCAGCAAGCATTTTTAGGCCTGTACCTGGCAAATTATTCCCTTTTTTTGGTCATTTCTAGGTTCTTTATTATTTTTTTCTTATTCTGCCCTTGAATTTACTTTTTTCAGTTTAGCAACCATTCATTTAGCACATAATATGTACTAGCCTGGTGACAGCTGCCAGGGATGCAAGGTTGGATGTGACCTCTTCAACGAAGAGTCGACCAACCTTACACATCCATAAATTTGCTGCTGCTTTGGTTTTTAATCTAAAAGCAGGGTGTGGTGGTGCATGCCTGTAATCCCAGCAACTTGGTAGGCTGAGACGGGAGGACCACAAGTTTGAGGCCAACCTCAGCAATTTAATAAAATCCTAAGCAACTTAGCGAGTTCCTGCCTCAAAATGAAAAAATAAAAAAAGGACTGGGGGGCTGGGGATGTGGCTCAAGTGCTAGCGCGCTCGCCTGGCATGCGTGCGGCCCGGGTTCGATCCTCAGCACCACATACCAACAAAAGATGTTGTGTCCACCGAGAACTAAAAAATAAATATTAAAAAAAAAAAAAAAGGACTGGGGTTGTGCTTGGTGGTGAAGCACCCCTAGGTTCAATTCCCAATACCAAATAAAAAATAAACAATTTTTAATCTAGTAGTCTCCCTTTATGTGTGGCAGATTCTTAGCTTGGATGTGTAAAACCTCAGATAGTATCAACTCTGTACTATGTATTTTCCTACACATATATACTTAAAGTTAAAAAAATTTTTTAGATGTTGATGAGCCTTTATTTTATTCATTTATTTATATGCAGTGCTGAGAATTGAATTGAGTGCCTCACACATGCTACGCAATTGCTCTACCACTGAGCCACAGCATCAGCCCTATAATAACGTTTTAATGTATAAATTAGGTGCAGTAAAAGGTCAAGTGAAAAGTAATAATAAACAGCAAATTATAACATATTATAATAAAAATTTAAACTTATGAACTGTTTATTTCTGGAGTTTTTCATTTAATATTTTTGAGCTGTGGCTGACTAGAGGTAATAAACTGTGGAAAGTGAAACCCTGCAGAAGAGGAACTGAAGATTTCTGAACAGTGGTAACCTTGACCCAGAGGCATAGGAAAGGTAGGTGGAGAGAATGCTGTACCAGCAATGGCCACTTGAGGGCAGGCGTGGATAATGTTTGAAGTTTTAAAGTTTTGGCCTCTTCGCATTCTCTCCCAGAGTACTCCCACTAACAATCAGAAAAGGGATGGGAGTGTGTAGCTTAGTGATAGAATTCTTGCCTAGCATGTGTGAGTTCCCGGGTGCCTCCTCCAGCACTTTAGAAAAAAAGAAGAAAAACAACAAAAAAACCCCCTAAGATATCCGTATATGGTTTCAGTTCAAGTGCAGACCTCTTCTCAAAAAATCTCGTTTTTATTAAAATCTGGTGTGTTGTAGTGAGTGAGCTCTTACACTCTCCATCCCCACCAAATTCTTGCCTGCATGTGATATGTTTTTGCTACTTGGAATTTCATAATTGTGTGATTCTCTTACAGAAAGGTCATATCATGTATTCCTATCCCTTTTTTTTTTTTTTTTTTGGTACTGGGGATCTAATCCAGGGGTTCTTTACCATTGAGCTACATCTCCCCCCCCCACCTTTTTTTGAGAGAGAATTTTTAAATATTTATTTTTTAATTTTTGGTGGACACAACATCTTTATTTTATTCGTATGTGGTGCTGAGGATCGAACCCAGAGCCCCGCACATCCCAGGGAGCAAGTTACTGCTTGAGCCACATCCCCAGCCCAACCTTTTTTAAAATTTTAAAATATTGTTTTAGTTGTAGGTGGACACAACACCATTTATTTATTATGTGGTGCTGAGGATTGGACCCAGTGCCTCACATGTGCTAGGGAAGTGCTCTACCACTGAGCCACAACCCCAGCCCAATCCCCAACCATTTTTATTTTTCTTAATTTTGAGATAGGGTGTTGCTAAGTTGCTTTAACGCCTTGATAAATTGCTGAGGCTGGCTTTGAACTTGTGGTCCTCCTGTCTTAGCCTCCTGAGTTGCTGGGATTACAGGTGTGTGCCATTGCACCTGACCATATATTCCTATTCTTTCCATACTCAGGAATTTTGAATTTCAATTATGTTTTGTTATTTGAATTAAAGTTAGTAAGGAATAATCTCTTCCACATCAGGGTAGTCTTAGATTTCTTAGTTTGATTCTGTTGTTGTTTTGGTAACAGTTTACTAGAACACTTACTTAGGATTTATGTTACATTTTGAGACCTTTCTTTGCATCTCAATCACTAATCTAACCTCTCAGTGCAGCATGCTGGGTGCTAGGCATGTGGCCTTGTGGGGATGCAGGTTGCTCTTGGAGGGTGCTCAGGGTCAGCCTTACTGAGGGACAATCTCTTTTCTGGCTGAAGAGAAAAAAAGAGCAAGCTGTAGATCAAGAGGGACACTGGGGGACCTTAAGGGCAGAAAGAGTGTGGCTCATTTTGGAGCAGACAATAGGGCTATGGGGACAGGTAAGATTAGAGACTTGGGCCAGATCATGAAGGGCCTTTGGCTGGCCCATAAAGGAGTTGAGATTTTATTTTTTAGTGAAGCAGCAAGCTGAGGTACTAATAAGCTTAGGAGAGACATTTTGAATGTTTTTTTTTTTTTTTTTTCCTGTGCTGGGAATGGAACCGAGGACCTTGCATATACTCTAATGGTGGAGCTATACTCCTAGCTCCATATTTTAAATTTTTAAAAGTTTACTCTGGGGGCTGGGGTTTGGCTCAGTAGAAGAGTGCTTGCCTAGCATGTGTGAGGCACTGGGTTCGATTCTCAGCACCACATAAAAATAAATGGAATAAAGGTCCATTGACAACTAAAGAATATTTTTAAAAAAGTAGTTACTCTGCTGGTGTGAGACATGCTTTCATTGTAGGATGGGACAGGGTGGAAGTTGGAGGTCTGCAACCTTTTTCTGTGAAGGACATGATACTAAATATTTACAGCTTTGCGAGTCAGAGAATCTGTGTGACAACCTCTCAATTCTGTCATTAAGTGTGAAACAGCCTTAGACAATATGTAAGGGAATGGGCAGGGATGGGGGTGTACTTGACTGACAAAGCATTTGCCTATCATTTGTGAGGATCTCTTGATCTCTAGCACTGCAAAAACAAAAAGAATGGGCATAGCTGTGTGCCACTCAGGCTTTATTTATAAAAGCAGGCACTGGGCCATAGTTTACCATCCCCTGGTTTAGATTATTGCATTTATCCTGGCAAAAGACGATACTAGCTGGGTGCACCTAGGGTGGTAGCAGTAGAGAGATACTCGGGAGATTTTGAGCTGTGACTCACTAGACTAGGTTGGGTGAAGAGAAGACCATTCAGTCAGTAGAGGGAGATGCTCTTTGCTGTGATGTAGAAGCACCAAGGAATGCAGGCTTTGGAGGAGGGGTGATGGGGGACAAGAGTTTACTTTGGGAAGCATTTAGCTGGAGTAATTGTTGAGCCCACCTAAGGTCTCAAGGACACGATGGCTCCAAAACTCAGTGCTGCGGGGAGAGGGTAGGGTTACAAGATTTCAGATCCATCCAGGTAGCTGAAGCCAGAGACAATGGTGAAATCTGGAACTGGGCTCACTATGATCCCTCCTCCTCCAACATCTGCATCATTCCACTGAGTACTCAAGTTTATTATGATAATTTTTTCTCTTTTGTGGTACTGGGGATTGAATCCAGAGGTGCCCTACCACTGAGTTACATCCACAGTCTTCTAAATTTTATTTTGAGAAAGGTGCTAAGAGAGGCCTTGAACTTGCCATCCTCCTGCCTTAGCCTCCTGAGTTGCTGGGATTACAGGCGTGTGCCACTGCACCTAGCAAGTTTTACTCTTGAGCCCTGTCTTGCTTTTCTTGTTAAATTCTGAGCTCCTTAGGAACATGTCGCAAATTCTTTCCAACACCTTGCTTATAGTGTTGAGCATGTAGTAGAGGCTCAAATACTAGAGAATACATTTTCAAATCCATGTGATAGTCTTTAAGTATTTAATATAAAGAGGATGAGTGAGTTAATGTGAATTTTATCTTGGTCTAAGTGAAATGCTTTAAGTAACTTTATTGGAACCACTTTGTAAATTAAGTTGACATTTATCAAAGGATTACACTGTAAGGAACATTCATAGGGCTTTTGGTACTATTTGTTTCAGAAAGCCAGCATGTTTTAATAAGACGATTCAATTTTTATAGGCAACACCGTAAGGAGTCATGTAGGCATGTGTATGTGAGTGTGTATAGAATGTGGGAGAAAGAGAGGGAATGCTCATTATTTAAATTCAGACAGAACCAGGTGATTCTCACCTTTCTCATATTGTCACTGGATTTGAATTTTTCTTCTGATTGGAACCACTGGTAGAAAGTAGCTTACCTTGCCCCCTCTGTGGTCCTATTGCTCTTTCTTTTTTTGGGGGGGGGTACCAGGGATTGAACCCAGGGGCACTTAACCACTGAGCCACATCCCCAGCCCTCCTCGTTATATTTTATTTTGAGACAGGGCCTCACTAAGTTGCTGAGGCTGGCCTTGAACTTGTGATCCTCCTGCCTCAGCCTTCTGAGCCGCTGGGTTAGGCACGCACCACCACACCCAGCATTGTGCTCAGATTATTAAGAATTATTCTGTTAGCTTCTGGACTAATGGAAAATGTTAGATCATTTGTGTCTTATTTTTGTTTTCCATTCCCAGCTGGGAGGCACCATCGGAGACATTGAGGGAATGCCATTTGTGGAAGCATTCAGACAATTCCAGTTTAAGGCAAAAAGAGAGAATTTCTATAATATCCATGTCAGCCTTGTCCCACAGGTAGGCTTTCCAGATAAGTATATGGACAGCAACTTTGCTCAATATTTCAATGATATTTTGTGTGTCCTATATTTGAAACTGGGGAGCCATTAATTGTCCAAAAGGCTACTTGTCTGGTGTATTCACAGACTTATTTCTTTTTTAGCCCAGTGCTACTGGAGAACAGAAAACTAAACCCACACAGAACAGTGTCCGTGCGCTGAGGGGATTGGGTTTGTCTCCAGATCTGGTGAGTTAACCACAGTGGGTAAGTTTATCCCTAAAATCACTTGGAGTAGGACCTCCATATCTTTTTTTTTTTTTTTTTTTTTTTAATTTTGGTGCTGGGGATTGAACCCAGGACCTTGTACATGCTAAGCATGTGCTCTGTCTCTAAGCTACACTCCCAGCCCTTAATCTGTTACATCATCCAAGTCCTTTGTCGTTCTCCAATGGTTCCTTATGACAATGAGCATTTTGTATCTGGGAACCAGGAAAGGCTTATTTCCTTATGTTTAAATTGACCATTTATTCTTCTTCAGGCCCTCATTTGATTGGCCACATTGACATCTGGGCAAGTGCAATGGTCTTGCCATTTGTGTGGTTCCTGGATCCTTTAGATTGAAGGTGGGATCCTGGGATATTTCTGTGACCCTGATAAAGATGGGCTATCACTGCAGTTGTTGTTATTATTACTATTTTTGGTGGTGCTGGGGATTGAACCCAGGGCCTTGTGCATGTGAGGCAAGCACTCTACCAACTGAACTATATCCCCAGCCCCACTACTGTTATTTTAGTCTAAAGAGCGGTGTGGTCTTGTAGCACATAATCTGGTTATCACCAATAATCTAGATCAGGGATCTGCAAATAATAGTTCTCAATTTAGCTGCCTATTTTTGTAAATAAAGTTTTTTTTTTTTTTTTTAATCAGGGATCCAACCCAGGGGTGCTTAACCACAGAGCCACATCCCCAACCCTTTTTATATTTTATTTTATTTTTTTAATATTTATTTTTTAGTTTTTGGCGGACACATTTTTGTATGTGGTGCTGAGGATCAAACCCAGGCCGCACGCATGCCAGGGGAGCATGCTACCGCTTGAGCCACATCCCCAGCCCTGTATATTTTATTTTGAGATAGGGTCTAAGTTGCTGAGGCTGGCTTCTTTTTTTTTTTTTTTTATATGGGGGATTGAACTCGGTGGCACTAGACCACTGAGCCACATCCCCATCCCTATTTTGTATTTTATTTAGAGACAGGGTCTCTGAGTTGCTTACTGCCTTGAAGTTGCTGAGGCGGCTTTCAACTCTCGATCCTCCTATCTCAGCCTCCCCAGCTGCTGGGATTACAAGCATGAGCTACTGCGCCCAGCTTGGAGATAGTTTTATTGGCATGCACTCAGTTATTAACATATTGTCTATAGCTCCTTCTGCACTGCAGCAGCACAGCTGAGGATCAGGACAGTGACTGACCTGTCAATTTAAAATAGTTCCCAACTGGGTTTTTGGAGAAAAGGTTCATCAACCCCTGATCTAGTTCTTTTCTTGTATTTAATGAAGTGTTCTTGTGAGCCTTGCCTCTGTTCATCAGAGATGTGCTGACATTTTGAGCTCTTTCTGGTAGATTTGTGTTGAATTTTATTGTTTCCTTATACTAGTGCTGAGCCCAATATCTAATAGTCCAGTGGACTGCTTAAAGTGAGCAATGCATACCTGGCCAAATCTCTTGTACTGTAAAGAAATGAATATAGTGTCATGCTAAAAATCGGTGCAACATGAACATCCTGGTTCCCACTTGCTGACCTGTGCATAACTGGCTTTGACAGATTGTCTGCCGAAGTTCCACACCCATTGAGATGGCCGTGAAGGAGAAGATTTCTATGTTCTGTCACGTAAACCCTGAACAGGTTGGTGCTGCCCTTCAGATTTTATTGTCTTGCACGAGCTTCTTCTGAAGCCAGAGTTTCGTACCTCTTCAATATTGTATTGTTTTGGGGGGCACTTACATAAGCTTTGGGGGGCATCTTATCCAGCTATGGCTTCCTAACTCTTAAGTGAACAATCTTGAGTCTCCCGATTCCTTAGACATCATTCCTTAATTTATAGGCACAAACCCACTGTGAGCTTTTTAACTCGCAAACTTCACATGGTTCTCTCACTATTTTGAGACAGGGTCAGCCAATAAAGCTGAGAGACTTGCTAATTACTGAGGCTGGCCTGGAACTTGTAATCCTCATGCCTCAGCCTCTTGAGTTGTTGGGATTGCAGGTGTGTGGCACCACGCCCAGCTTCTCCTAATTGTCTTTTTAATCATGTCTTTCCTTCTGGACACTTACTGCTTTCATTTGTTTCTCCTTTGTACAGCTTAACTCGCCCTAAGCCACACCAGTACAGTAACACTTGTTCTCTCTCTGCTTATCACAACAGTGGCCTCAGTTCATAGCATTACTATAGAAACTGTACTATGACTTGGGCTCAGGCCCTGTGTTCTGCAGAACTTTTCACCCGAGTATTGTGACAAATTAGTTTTTCTTTTTCTTTCCTTCTCCTATCTATTGTCTTTTGTTTCCAGAAGGCTCTAGCCCAAGGGCTGGGACTTGGCTATAGTTTATAAAGTGGCATAATGGTGCTCAGGCAAAGGATGAGGTTTGGTAGAAACCTTTTCTACATATGAGCCCTGAGTTCTCTGAAGTCTAAAAACCATTTAATGGGGTTTTTAATATCTTGGGAGGCAGGCTGATGAACAGCCCCCTGCCTGATGCTTCAAAGTTAGTAAATGAGTTGGAACTACTTTGAAAAAATAAAGAACTCTTTTGTCTTTGTCTTTTGTCGTACCATTTTTGTTTTCTTTCAGTCGTTTGGAGTACCCATCCTATTGGTAGATAGTACTTTGTGTATATATTTTGAGATAGGGTCTTGCTAAGTTGGTGAAGCTGGTCTCAAACTTGCGATCCTCCTGTCTCAGCCTCCTGAGGCCACTGGAATTATAGATGTATGTCACCACACCTAACTAGTCTCCCCACTTCTTAATTGCAGCCTTTTCATGAGTAGTGGTGAATCTGCATTTCAAGTTGTTTTCATCTGTATCTCTGAGGAGGTGACGAAGAGGGCCACAGGCATCTCTGTGGACATGGCCCATCACCATATTTGAAAAATCTCTCTCTGGCCTGGAGGATAAATGAGTAAATAGTTCCACATTTCATGCCTTCCACTTTTGGGAGTTGCAGCTGGGCAGAGATTTCATTAGCAATTGGGGTGGAGCCCCATACTAGTGATATCTTGTGTCTTGGAATTGCATTGGTGCATGCACAAGAGAGGCTCTGTAATCTGAGTATCAAGTTGATGATATTCAAACAGCTTAAGAACACTTGACTTAGAGCTATGGGCTTGGGTTGACTGAACACAGAGTTGGCAGAACATTTCTTGGCATTTATTTAGGATGTGGCAGATCCTTAAATGACTACAAGTAGCCCCTTGGATGTATTTGAGAGGCTGTTGAAAGCTCATTAGGGTAAATGTGAAAAACAACCACAGCCAGATATCAGCTGCTATTTAAAAGTATTCTCTTCTAACAGGTATAATTAATTTTACTGTGGTCAATGTGCACCAGCAAATGTACCCAAATGAAGGGAGCAGGGGACAAGATTACAGACAGAAGCAACTATAGTAGCAGTGACAATAAACGAAGGGACAAATAAACTATATATTCACACTTAGAAGACAAGGTGCATGTGTTCAGTGCGACTGCTTTAACTCACACGTAGCAGATAGTGGCTTGGACAGTGCCTCTTGGATATTGATCTATAAAGCATCTACATTCTAATACCAAGTCTCTGACAACAGCACAGGGTCACTTCTGATACTAATTACCCAGAGTGAGCATCCAATGCCACAGATTTAAGGACTCACTTTCTTATAAGACCCCCCCCCCCACTTCATGCAGGTTTCCATTGTTCCCAAGCCACCCGAGCTTCTGCCAGCTAACTACAAGTTTGGGGCTTCCGTGATCCCCTTCTTTGATAGTGCACTAGAATAACTCACAGAACTCAGGGAAAATGCTATATTTATAGTTCCTATTTTATTATAAAAGTGCAAATGAACAGGTAGATGAAGAGATGCAAAGGGTAAGGTCTAGGAAAGTTCTAGGTACAGGACTTGCTGAATCAGGGTGTGTCTCCCTCTTGGTACCTCTATATAGTTTCCCCCTGGGAAGTTCCCCTACAAGCTTTGCTCTTCCAACGTTTTTATTGGGGTATTATTATGTAGGTATGATTGAATACCTGGCCATGTGTTTGAACTCAGTCCCCATCCCCCACTTCTTCCCTCCCCACAGGTTAGGCTGGTGGCTGAAAGTTCCAGTCCTCTAATCACTTGGTTTATTTTTCTGGTCACCATTCCCATCCTAAAGCTATCTAGGGGCACCGGGAGTCACCTCAGCTGCATAATAAAGATACTTTATTACTCAGGAAACTCTGAAGATTTTTCAAGTGCTGTACCAGGAACGGGGGACAAATATCAGTCAGTTGTCTTTCATCATTTTCAAGTGATTGGTTTTAGGACCCTTGTGGATACCAAATTCTGTGGGGCTCAAGTTCTATTTTAATATAAAATGGTGCACATAACTTACATATATCCTCTTTTTTTAATTAAATTTTTTTTTTGTACCAGGGATTGAACCCAGGGATGCTTAACCACTGAACCACATCCCCAGTTCTTTAAATTTTTTCTTTCGAGACAGACTCTTACTAAGTTGCTGAGGCTGGCTTTGAACTTCAGATCCTCCTGCCTCAGCCTCTGGAGCTGTTGGGATTATAGACATGAGCCACCTTTGTACCTGGTCACATCCTCCTGTATACTTTTATTTATCTCTAGGTTGCTTATAATGTCAAATACAGTGCAAATATTATGTAAACCGTTGTTATGCAATACTTTTTAGGAATAATGACAAGAAAAAAGTCTTTACATGTTCAATACAGATGCAGATATTATTTTTCTGAATATTTTTGATCCATGGTTGGTTACATCAATCAGTGTGGAACCCGAGGATATTGCTGTATATTTACTTTTTATTTTACCATGATACCCATTGTTCTGGAAGTAGAGTAATGAACTCAGAGTTGTATTATTAAATCAAACTCACCTTGTATTAATTCTGACTCTCATTTGGGTTACTGGATTTTCTTATATCAATATAAATAAACTGCCAGTCTCTTGAGTTTTGTCTCATTTCTGTGGCACATTTGAGGCAATCTATCTAAGTGTGGTGTTTTATTATTGATTAGGTCATATGTATCCATGATGTTTCTTCCACCTACCGAGTGCCTGTGCTTTTGGAAGAACAAGGCATTGTTAAATACTTTAAAGAGCGATTGGACCTGCCCATTGGTGATTCTTCAAGCAATTTACTTTTCAAGTGGAAGAATATGGCTGACAGGTATGTGAAAGGAATTACTTATAGAATCTTTAATAATTCCTGTACTCTGAAAATGTCTGGAGCCTTTGATTTTGCATTACTTAAACCAAAGTGAATTGAAGGAATTTTTACCTAGAAGGAATATTTTTAATTCTGGAAGGATTTTTAAATTTTTATTTTTATTTTTAAAATTTTTGTAGCTGTAGATGGGCAGCATGCCTTTATTTTACTTGTCTATTTTTATGTGGTGCTGAGGATTGAACCCAGTGCCTCACATGTGCAAGGCAAGTACTCTGCCACTGAGCTACAGCCCCAGGAAGGATTTATTTATTTATTTTTTTTAAAGAGGAGAGAGAGAGAGAATTTTTAATATTTATTTTTTAGTTCTTGGAGGACACAACATCTTTGTTGGTATATGGTGCTGAGGATCGAACCCAGGCCGCACGCATGCCAGGCGAGCGCGCTACCGCTTGAGCCACATCCCCAGCCCCCAGGAAGGATTTTTTTATATTTAATTTTTTTAGTTAGAGGTGCTCACAATGTCTTTATTTCACTTTATGTGGTGCTGAGAATTGAACCTAGTGCCTCATGCATGCAAGGCGAGCACACTACCTCTGAGCCACCACCCCAGTCCTGGGATTTTATTTATTAATTTCTTTTTCTCTCTTTCTCCCTTTTCTCTCTCTCTTCTCTCTCTCCTCTTTTCTCTCTTTCAGTACTGGGGATTGATCCCAGGAACACTCTACCACTGAGCCATATCCCCAGCCCATTTTTATTTTATATTTGAGACAGGATCTTGCTAAATTGCTGAGGCTGGCCTTGAACTTGTGATCTTTTTGCCTCACCTCCCCAGTAGCTGGGATTACACACATGTACCACCATGCCGGGCTAGTTTATTCCTTATTTTCTTAAGTTTTACATTTTTTAAATGTTGCAAGCTTTTTGTTCTATTTTGTTTGTTTTTAAGACTTGGCTAACATTTCCTAAAGAAAATCCTGTTGAATGGGAAGTTTTAGCTATTACCATTAATGTTCAATTCTGCAGCCATTAATTAGTTCATATCATTATTAAAATTCCTGACAGGTTTTAGCTTAAATTAAACTATTTTAATTTAAGCCAGGTTTGCTTGAATTTCAAGTCCTAGAAATAAAATCCCAGAACACTGTTTTCTTTTCTTCAATGCAGTTGAGGTGTGACTCTACAAGCTACAGGCTACCTGATTGCTTGTGCAGCTTGGGTCAGTAGATTCTGGATTCAGACTCTGGCTGTCTTACTAACTGTAAATCTGGGTAGATTACTTTACTTCTCTTGGCTCGTCCTATTATCTACACATATCAGGGGCCTACCAGTACCCACCTAGTGGGAATTAATGAGAGAAAACACAGGACTTCACATTGAGTCAGGCACCAACTATTGGTTGCTGATGTTGGCAAACATAATTAAAATGATTTGACCATGACAAAATCACTGAGTTTGGTAGACTGAAATACTCTTGCCCTTTCACTTAAATATATGTTTTTTTCATTTTTTGGTTCTGTGCTAAGCAGGTGCTCTGCCACTGAGTTATACCCCCACACCACTTTCACTTAAACAACAACAACCACCCCAAAACTGCTTTAGACTTTCTGGGGCAAGTAGAATCAAGAATAATGCACAATTTCTGACTTAGGTACTCTAATAAATAATGATATAATCAAGCCTCTGCCCTCTAGAAAGCTTTAAAGAATCCATCATTTTGTAGGAATTTTCTGAGTAGCTTGGAGCTGATCCTCTTTAGCACTAGGATTTTTAGTATTTAACTCTTTTATTGAAAATAGCTTTATGCTTCTAAACTTTCTTTTATTATTATAATATTTTTAAATATTTATTTTTCAGTTGTTCTCGGACACAATATTTTTATTTTATTTATTTTATGTGGTGCCGAGTATCAAACCCAGGTCCTTGCAAGTGCTAAGTGAGTGCTCTATAGCTGAGCCACAATCCCAGCCTGATTTCTATTATTATCATTATTATTATTATTATTATTATTATTATTATTATTGGTACTGGGGATTGAACTCAGCATTTCTTTCCCACTGAATTACATCCTCAGGCCAACCCCCACTTTAAAATCTTTTATTTCGAAACAGGCTCTCACTAAGTTGCTGAGGCTGGCCTCAAACTTGTGATTCTCCTGCCTCGGCCTCCTGAGTTGCTGGGATTACAGGCATGTGCCACCATGCCTGAGTGCTTATATGCTTTCTAAAGCCAAATGTTTGGTCTTTGTATTAGTTTACTGTAGCTGCTGTAACAAAGTACCCTAACCTGTGTGGCTTTAAACAATAGAAATTTATTCTCTCATAGTCCTGGAGGCCAGAAGTTCCAAATCAAGATATCCATAGGGTTAGTTCCTTCTGGAAACTCTGGAGTATTTGTCCCATGCCCCTCTTCTACTTTCTAGTGGCTTCCTGCAATCCTTGATGTTCCTTGGCATATGGTCCTAACACTCTAATCTCTGCCTCTGTGTTTATATCACCCTTTCCCTTGTGTCTTCTCCCATTCTCTTCTTTTGGAAGTATGCTTGTCGTTGGATTTATGGCCCACCCTAATCCAAGATGATTTCATCTGGAGATCCCTAACTTCATTATATCAACAAAAACCCTTTTTCCACATAAGGGGGACATATTATTTAGTTGGGCACCATTAGCTTTATCATAGTCTTGACTCAAAGGAGATGTTGATAATTCCACATGGGCTGTGATATTGGTTAACTGATAATGGTGATGTAGGATATCCACTTTTTTTGTGGTGCTGGAGATGGAACCCAGGGCCTCACACATGCTAGGCAAGTGCTCTACCATTGAGTTCCACCACCACCAGTTCCTATTCTTTTTTTTTTTTTTTTTGGTACTGGGTATTGAACTCCGAGACACTTTACCACTGAGCCACATCCCCAGCCTTATTTTGTATTTTATTTAGAGACAGGGTCTCACTGAGTAGCTTAGCACCTTGATGTTGCTGAGGCTGGCTTTGAACTTGAGATCCTCCTGCCTCGGCCTCCCAAGCTGCTGGGATTATAGGCATGTGGCCCTGGGCCTAGCCATATTCATTCTTTTTTTTTTTGAGAGATGGGTCTCACTATGTTGCCAGGCTGGCCCTGAACTCCTGGGCTCAAGTGATCCTCCTGCCTCAGCCTCCCAAGTAGCTGAGACTATAGGCATGAGCCAGTTCACCTGACTAGAATGTCCATTCTTGAGATGTTGTTCCCTGCCTACTCTTATTCAAAGGAGCAGCCTCAATGATGGAAGCCTAGTGATGCCTGGAGCCAGGGGTCCTTGGTTAAACTGGAAGGAAAGCTCATGGAGGACCCCTCTTGGGACCTGCCTGGGGATAGGCTTGCAAAGTGGATTCCCTCTTCTGTTCCTGCAGCAGCTTATAGTTGTACCCAAAGCTTGCCTGTACCCCCTGGTGTTAGCTTTGTGGAGCATACCAGGCTGTTCTGGGAAGGGCGAGTCAAGAGGGAAAAAGGGCACAAGGGATTGCCTGCACACTGGCCCCTTTCTGGGAGGTGTGACCCATGGACTCACCCGTGCTAGCCACCACTAAGTGACTCCTCCTTCTTTGGGAAGCCCAGACATGAAAGAGCCAGAGGAGGAGTCAGCTGGAGCAGCTTCCTTCCCAGAGCTGATGCCCCTCCTCTCTTTGGAGGAGGAGTAAGGCCCAGCCAACCTGCTGTGCAGAGGCAGCTGTGATTGCCAGGACCCAGGTGTGGGTCACCTGCCTCTGAAGTCATCATCATTGCTGATACTTGGCTTCCTATCAACTAGCTTTCTGTTATCTGAATCCCTTAGGGAGAGATGGCATGAGATGTGTGTGGCTGTGGAATCTCCAGAGCAACATAAACTTTAGCAGGGAGGTCAAGGTTTAGCAGCTTTCTGTAGGTACTTCAGTCACCTTCCTAGAAAGTACTTTCCTAAACTGGGCATGGTGCCACATGCCTGTGATCCTGGCAGCTGCGGAACCTGAGGCAGGAGGATCACAGGTTCAAGGCTAGCCTTAGCAATTTAGCAAGGCCCCTAAGCAACTTAGTGAGGCCCTGTCTATAAATAAAAAATTTAAAAAAGGGGCTGGCGATATGGCTCAGTGGTTAAGCACCCCCTGGGTTCAATCTCTGGTACCAGAAAACGAAACAAAAAAACCCCACAAAAACCAAACCAAAACCAGAACAAACAAAAGGAAGTATTTTTCTGGCAGTTTTGACCTCTTATTGAGCATTTTTCTCCACCCAACCTGTTTTGGGCCATGCTATTCTTGTATAGAAGAAAGATATTTCTCACTGTGGAATTTTTGGGAGGTGTTAGTGCAAAGGCCACATCAAAGACCCAAAACATCTTCAGCCCCAAGATGACATTTCCACCTACTTGATATCAGGTCACATGTTTTTCTTGTTCTTTGAACAGATTTCTTGATGAAAGCCACATGAAGGATTATGTCTCTAATGGTGAATTGTGATTGAGCATCTTCTATAGAATGCAACTTTCTCATAAAAATGATCTAAATGGCTTGTAATATTTTAAATAGTTCTCTTAGCACCATTCTTCAGGCATGGCATGAATACGCAGACATTTGTGAGCCAGCTGGGAATGCAAGAATTTAAAACGGAGACATTTTGAATGCACTTTCTTATACAATGTCACCTTACGAAATTAATATAGGAATGTTTTCTATTGACAAGCAGAATGCTTTTTCTTATTCAATGTCGCCTTATAAACTAATTTATGAACAGCTCTTGTTTATGAGATAGCTTTTTAAATGTCTTGTTTTGAATGCTTTTAAATTTTCTCAGATTTATATCTGCACCTGCTTATACAAGGCAACATTGGCATTTATTAGGATTTTGAAACCTGGTGAGGAGATTTTGGTGCTTTGGAGGGGAGATTTGACTCAGGTTCATCAAGCATGAGCCTTATCTGCTCCTAAGATTTCTTTCTTTTCTTTTTTTTTTTTTTGGTGCTGGGGATTGAACCCAGGGCCTTGCGCCTTGTGTATGCAAGGCAAGCACTCTACCAACTGAGCTAAATCCCCAGCCCTGCTCCTAAGATTTTATTAAGTACTAAGTGCCTTGAAACTGGAGCAGTGCTATCTTTTTTGTTTTTTCGTACTAGGGATTGAACTCAGGGGCACTTGACTACTGAGCCACATCCTCAGCCCTTTTTTCTATTTTATTAGAGACAGAGTCTCACTGAGTTGCTTAGCATCTTGCTTTTGCTGAGGCTGAGCTTGAACATGAGATTCTCCTGCCTCAGCCTCCTGAGCTGCTGGGATTACAGGCGTGCGCCACCATGCCTAGCCTTTTTTTTTTTATGATGTTCCATGACATGCATATAAACTTTGAGCTTGTCTTTCTTCTCAGGTATGAAAGATTACAGAAAACATGTTCCATAGCCCTGGTTGGTAAATATACCAAACTCAGAGACTGCTACGCCTCCGTGTTCAAGGCCCTGGAACACTCAGCCTTGGCCATCAATCACAAGTTGAATCTGATGGTGAGTCCAGACCAGGTCTCCCAGATATGTCAGCCTTTAGTCCAATACCTTGCGTTCCAAAGGGGCAGGTTGTGCCAAAGGGTCCCTGCAACCACACTCAGATGGACCAGGACTCACAGGACTCAGCATAATGTCATACTCATGGCTAAGATTTACTGCCAAAGAATATAAAGCAAAATTGGCAAAGGGAGAGGTCTGGGGAAACCAGGTGCAAGCCTCCCCCAATGGAGTCTCACAGATTGAGCTTAATTCCCCCAGCAATGACTTGTGGCAACATGTGTGAAATGTTCTCTACCAGAGATGCTCATTAGAAACTTATGCCCAGGTTTTTTCTTTTTTTCTGGGATGCTAGGGGTTGAACCCAGGGTCTCTTGTATGCTAGGCAAGTGCTTTACCCTTGAGCTAGCACCCCCAGCCTGTGCCCAGGGTTTTTATTGAGGGTTGGTCATGTAGGTACTCTCTGTTTACTATGTACCTGAATTCCAGCCCTGCAGGGGGGAACCATGTACTCCGAGTAAATCTTGTTTGTAACAAACACTTTAGGTACAAAGAGCCACTCTTATCAGTTCTTGGAATGATGGGAACCCTTCTGAAATCCATGCTTCCAGATGCCAACCAAGGGGCAATCTTTTAAGTAGTCCTCTCCAAGGATAATGGTTATGTCTTCTGTGCTAGCTTTTTTCTGCATACAGGTTTAAGGCACATTTCTGAAATTAGACTTTGCATAGCCAGTTAAACATATATTTCATGCTCATTTAAGCACATTTTATTTACCTAATAAGAAAATAATAGAACATTCCTTTCCCTTTAGCATTAGGTAGGATAGAATCCAGATTTTTAAAATATTTTCCTTTTTTTCATACTGGGGATTGAACCCAGGGATACTTTCCCACTGAGCTACATCCCTAGCCCTTCTTATTTTATTTTACTTTGAGACAGAGTCTTGGTAAGTTGCTGAGGGCCTCACTAAGTTGCTGGGTTGTTCTTGAATTTGTGATCCTCCTGCCTCAGCCTCCTGAATTGCTGGGATTACAGGCCTGTGCCATCCTGTCTGGCCTGTATTACCCTTTCTGACTTGAAGGAATAGTCCTTGGTAAACAATGGTTATTTGTTTTAAAAATCATTATTATGGAATAGCAGAAGTGTGGTTATTATATATAGCCTGAATATCTTCCCCACTGGCTTCTAATCACCAGTCTTCCCTCTTTTCCATGCTGTACCAGTGATCTTTCTAAATTCTCTTCTTTTTGTTCCTGTCATCCTCTTAAGACTCTTCAGTGGTGTCTGAGTCTGTTTGGGCTGCTATAACAAAATACCACAGACTAGGTGGCTTATGAACAATAGAAATATATTTCTTAGTGTTCTGGAGGCGGAGAGTTGAGATCAGGACCCTTCTGGTGAGGGGCCTCTTCCAGGTTGTAGATGGTAATAATCCTATTCTGGTAATATCCTCATTGGTGGAAGGGGTGAGGGAGCTCTCTAGGGCCTCTTTTATATGGGCACTAATCCTTTTCATGAGGGCTCTACTCTCATGACCTAGTTACCTCCCAAAGATATCTACTACTATCATATTGGGAGTTAGGATTTCAACATATGAATTTGGTCTTTTTTTTTTTTTTTTTTTTTTTGGTACTGGGGATTGAACCCAGGGGCCTTAACCACTGAGCCGTATCCCTAGCGCTTCTTATTTTTTCATTTTGAGGAAGTCTCCCTAAGTTGCTTAGGGCTTTGCTAAATTGCTGGGATTGGCCTGAAATTTGTGATCCTTCTGTCTCAGGCTTCCCCGCCGCTGGGATTACAGGTGTGTGCCATTGCACCTGGCTCAACATATGAATTTTGGGGACACATATTCAGTCCATTGCAAGTGATTTCATGTGTCATGGCTTCTCGGCTTCATCATTTACTTCCCTCTGACCAATCAGATCTTTCCTCTGGCTAGGCAGAACCTCTTTTGAGGGTCTTAGAGTGCAGAGTGAGTGATCAGCACTTTTTCTTTTCTCTGAGAATTCATAGCCTTCTCCCTTCCTTCATCTCCTGAACACCTTCTTGGTTACCTCCTAGTGCGTGCGGGTGCGCGCGCACACACACACACACACACACACACACACATGCTTATTCTTGGTGCTTAACTTTTTAGATATCATCTCTCCAGAGATTTTTTTTTTTTTTTTTTTTTTGGTACCAGGGAATTGGATTGAATCTAGGGGCACTTAATCATTGAGCCCTAGCCCTATTTTATTTATTTATTTATTTATTATTTTTTAGTTGTATTTGGACACAATACCTTTATTTTATTTATTTATTTTTATGTAGTGCTGAGGATCAAACCCAGGGCCTTGTACGTGCTAGATGAGCACTCTACCACTGAGCCATAACCCCAGCCTGAGCCCCAGCCCTTTTAAAAATATTTTTTTTATTAGTTGTTGATGGACCTTTATTTTATTTATTTATATGTGGTGCTGAGAATTCAACCCAGTGCCTCACACATGTTAGGCAAGTGCTCTACCACTGAGCCAGAACCCTAGCACCATCCCCAGCCCTTTTTTTTTTTT